TCCCCAAACCAGAGGTCTATACCAGTTTATAAAATTTAGTAGGATTTGGTCATGTCTTTATAGGGGTAGATAAGAGCTTTTCTTGTTTTTTATCATAATTTATAATTTAATTGCTAACCGGACCACTTTTGCTGCTGAGAAATTAGGTATCGATGGGGTGTAATTTTGAATGTTAATATCTTAGATTAATGAAACTGGATTAATCGTTTCATTAATCTAAGGTTAATATACACTTATATTTTATATACCGTTACTAGCAAAATTCGAAGATATCACCAAAAGATTCTTTAATTGAGAAATTTCGTTTGACATATTGAGGGACGATTATGTTTTATTATTAAGCATAGTATGAAATAAATAATAATAAATCAGATATACATTGTATGTAAATATATTACTTACCATTAACATAATAAATATATTTATATGGACACATCAAAAATGTCTAAGGAACACCATTATTTCACATTTTTCGATGAAAACTTTTTTTTAATACATACCATTCGATTTCAAAACATGTTCTCTACAAACCAAGATATGCCATGTAAATTAATCTGTAAATTGCACTCTTTTATTAAGACAAAAGTGACAGAGCCTTAAATTCATACGATTAATTGCTTCAAATTGTAAAGAAATAATGCTTTAAATTTTAAATACCTAAAAAAGTATTTAAAATTTTAGATACTTAAAAATTTTACTAAAACAAGATTATTAAATGCGAAGATAGTCCTAAAGCGTCGGCATCTAACACATATTCAAATGGTAAGTGGTGGAAATATGATTCAGGCTGATCTTTCTCAAGCTGATGTTGCACGTCATTTTGACGTGTCTCGGAGCCTGATTTCGTAATTGTGGGGCGTGATTTCGTGATAATGTCGCTGAAAGACATAGGGAATCGTTAACGTGAAACTACTCCTCGACATGATCGGTATGTGGTAGGATTATCTCATCGAAATGTACATATAACTACACGTGAACTCTATGGGGCCTTACAAAATACCCACGGTATGTGAACAAACTTTGCAACAACAGTGAGAGGTTGGTTTCATAATGAGGATATTATACTTTTACCGTGGCCAGGACAATCTTAATCCCATCGATCATGTATGGGATATGCTTCAGAGACAGATTGCTCCTCATCTGCACAATGTATATACTACACAAGGTCTTCTAGATCTTATACAGGAATGGATCCTATTGCCTAAAAACGACATTGATAGTTTAATTTTAAGCATGCCATGTATGTTTCTAGCTGTAATTATGCTGCTCAAGAAAACACAGATTATTAAACCAACTTTTCGTTAGATTTTTGTTTTATGTTACAAATTTCTATTAAATTAGTACACTTCTTAACTTTTCTTTGATTATTTAATCATAAAAGAAATCATAGAATACTAAATACTAAAATTGAGTTGATTTTATAGCAGACTAGGCATTATAACGGTATGTCACATTTTAAAATTTAATCAAAATTGATGTATATATGAGAAAAAAACTGTGTATTCCTTTGACACTTTTGATGTTTTATTTTATAAAGTCGAGAAAAATCGTAATTAGAGTAGGCTGGTGAAACTTAACTTTTTATTTCACAAAAATAATAAACGGTTGAACATGACATTTATGATTTACGATTGTCGCTACAAAGTTTGTTTCTAAACACATTATTTTACACAAATAACATGCTAGCTTGGGTTTTATGTATATATTCAGATGTAAAATAAGGTTGGAATAGCTTTGATGATAAACAAAAAATGTATATATTATTCTGTGGAAGTGATAAAAACCCAACTTAACACACGTTTATTGCGCAAACTAGACTAATTAGCTTTTGTATTCCATTGGCTTATGTTGTATTAAAATATTATATATTATAATAAATTATTATATCTAGTGCTATCACTGCCTGTTGATAAGTATTTATAGTTTTGTTTATAAAGTATACTGAAGGCGATAAATGATTCTGATACAACAGATAGTGCAAGAAGTACAGCAGGCAGTATACAATTTAATTTGTTAAAAATAATCATTAATTTATTTTTATTAGTTTTCAATTATCTCGGGAACTTACCACTAGCAAAATTGGACGATATGCTCACATTCATCCCCTAATTGAGATCTTTAATTTGACACATACCTTGGCCTTGAGTAACGACTATGTTTATTTTAAAAGTATATTATAATTACTTACCTTTACTATTAGTAATTCATTATATTAAGGCAGGATGATATTCAAATACCTCAGCATAGATTTATCCAGTTACCATGAACCAGCCAGAGATCTAAGAGGACCGATAAATAAGGGTGCAGTCATATCTGGATGTTTACCGTTTTCTGAACGAGTGACAGAAGAAAAATTGCCACACGGACTACAGACCGATATATCTTCCACCATGCTTAACAGTCGCTACAGATCAGTGTATGATTAATTAGTCAAAGTTTCAAAATTGCTAATCTGCGACACAGACATATCACAGAGGAAAATGAGCGCGCTGCTAACAAATTATTTTAGATTTCCAGTCGCCACGTCTTTTGGTGGAAATAAAAATGTCGTACAAAGAAGACGTCGGGCATTTTTGCAAAAGAATTAAAGTTGATAATACGACTACTGATGATTATTGTCGATTATCCCCACAAGAAATGTAGAAGTTACAAAAATTAAGGGACACAGTTGACTTTTTTAATAGTGAAGAGGAGCCATTTACCGACAGTGGGAGTGAATATTTACCAGATGGAGAAAGTGATCAGGAGAGCACTGCTGAAGAAGAGGTTAATGAAGATGTAAGCTTAGATAATCGTGGCAACTTCGATGAAAATGGTCAGAATATTGAAAAGATTATAGTGATATACAAATCCAGTGAGTAAAAATTCAATTCGTCCGCAAGTTACATAAATTTGATGATAGCCAGAGCAGAAATAAAGAACATGGTACACTAAACGGAAGATCTAAGGGCAATAATTATTTTTTGTAAATTTATACTGAAGATACTACCAGATTTATAATTGATGAAACTAACAGGTATGCTACTCAAAAAAAAAATGACAAAAAATATAAACATGTTGATTTAGATGAGTTCTTTATACTTCTTTAATTAACTATGCTTACGTCCAGAAACAAAAAAACTCGAAGTGAAGGCGAATTGTTTAACAGATCCTCTTTTATACTCCTCAGTTTTTGGCAAAATAATGTCAAGAGACAGGTACTTACAAATTATGAAATATTTGGATTTCTGCAATAATTAACAAGTAAACACAAGAGATCGCTTGCACAAAATAAGGGGTTTTATCACAAATAAACCAAAGATTTTAGTTAAAATTTTATCCATTCGAAAACCGATAATATAAAAGAATACATACTTTCCCGAAGAAACTATCAAATGCTTGGGAGCCACTGGAAATATTGTGGTTCATCTTATGAAACCATAATTATATGAACAAAGGCCATTCACTGTTTAGATAATTTTTATAGCAGTCCAATCTTTTTTGTATGAACATAAAACGAATTCTTCTGGGACTGTTAGATCTAACAGACTTCATATGTCTTTGCACTGACGTCATTTGCAAAAAAGATTGAAAATAAAGTGAAGTAGATTTAGAAATTCTGACATTTTCTTAGTGTTTAAATGGAGAGACAGAAAAGATATTGTGATGATAACAACAACGCATCAAAACCAAATGTTTGGTCTTGACAGAATTAATCCTACTAATAAAGAGCCAGTAAGAAAACCAGATTGTATTATCGCATACAGTAAACAAATGAAATCAGTCGACCGATCGGACATGATAAGTAGCATTGATTGCATGGGAAGACCACTAAATGGTATAACAATTTTTTATCCACACAGTAAATATCTATGTACTAAATTCCCATGCTATGTTATTGAAAAACCAGACTACGTCTATGCCAGTTGCCAAGTTTCAATTAAGTTTTGTACACTATAGTTTTTTTATAAAGTTCCTTAGTATAATACTTTTTTTAATTTAAGGTATGAATATCAAGTGAAAAAGCCTACGCTCATTTCAGATGATTTAGTCAGATTACAAGAAAGGCATTTTTCTTCATTAGTTCCGTGAACTGAAAAGACAAAAGCCGCCTTCAGAAGATGTGTTGTGTACTCGTATAAAAAAGAAAATAACTATAAACAAACGGTTTCTACATACATGTGTAACGAAAGTGATGTAGGTTTGTGTGGGGTTCCATGTTTCGAGAAATATACTAAAGAAACTTAAAAAAAATGTGTTGTTCAATCAACAAATTTTGAGAAAACTGTTCTTTTCAAAGTTGTTCTATAAAAGATATGTACACAAATTCTTAATAAAAAAATGCATGTCTTTACTGAATAAATATTTATTACAAGTCCTAAATTTTTTTATCCGGGCCGATATGTGCCGTCCGTCCACACGGCACGCTAAAAACTACCGTTTGTATGGTATACAAGGGAAAATAGGTACCGCCCTGAAAGGGCTAAGATATGTCGTCTGGAATAACCCATTCATGCAAAAAGATAGCAAAGTTAAAATTTATAAAACCTGTATCCAACTTGTAATGACCTATGGAATAGAATTACGGAAAGAAACTAATAAAACCAGTAGTAGGATACGTACAACCCAAATAAAGATAATAATAGCAATATTAGGGAAACTACGAAGGGACAGAATAAAAAATGGAATAAACAAAGACGACGATAACGGTACAATCATGTAAAAAGGAAGGGAAGAAGATGCACAGGCCATCAAGAATTGCGCTAGAAGGAAAACCAGCGACCAGCGGGGAGACCAAGAAAGAGATGGACAGATAGCAAATTGTTTTCGTGTTTTTATATTTTGATAATATTTGTTTATCAGATAAAATGTAACAATCAGTAAGCAGTCTTATTCCCATAATATATTTCAAAGTTAAGATATATAAGAATAGTTTTCAAATTGTATTAATACTTTTCTCGGAGATATTGATTCTCCACTTTTTTGTGTACATAAAATGTATTGCAATAAATAAACCATACATGCAATTAACATTGAATTTTATTTAAACATATAATAAAAATATTCACTTTTATATACATATATATTGAACATTACATATGAGGTTTTACATTTTGACTTTGTCTATCGGGGACACCAATTCGAGTGTCTCAAGCTTACAAATATAATGATATAGGATTTAGTTCTGTTCAGGGGCCACTTTGATTTAAATTAAGGAAGTGAAATGTCTTAATTTAATATTGCTCAAATAAGTTTTTTTTTTACTTACGTTTAACAAGTTTCAAACTTTATTAGCATACTATAGCACCACTTATATTAGCACACAAACTTATTGAATACAGTTCTAAATTTAACTTTAAAATAATACTAAATTGTATAACAATTAGGTAAAGAATCAAATATTCAATTGATTTGCCAGGTTCTTTAAAATGTGTACAGAGATTTGCAGTAACAGAATATATCACCACTCAAAATCATTCCTTTCTAGTTATTTCTGCAGTTCAAAATAATAATGCTGCTTCTATTTAATTAAAATTTTAGATTAAATATTTTGGGCGCAATCTTATGATATGAAATTCTTATGTAGCCTTCTAATTTATCGATAAATATTGCACGTTATTGTAGGTTAATTTTAGGATTAGAGAAACCAAGTAGAAGGCAACATTGTTTGACTTGTGCCGAAGTAGGCGATACGTGTGTTTTTGTACTTTGAAGAAGGTATGCATAATATTTAATAATATTTTAAAAATTATTTCCTAATAATTGGTTAAAATATTACCAGAAGGCAGCTTTTGATATTCGATCGACAGGAAAAATATGGAAATGCCTGGAAGAACTAGAAGTACCGAAAACACTAATCATGATTATAGAAAGTACTTATTAGACAATTAGAGAAAAAGTACAAGTGGGAGGCCAAAAATCCAATGAATTCAAAATATAAAAAGAAATAAAACAGATAGATAGTGTAAGAGCATTGTTGTTCGTTAAGCAAAAGAAGAAAACTTATACAATAATTAGAACATGTAACCAATAAAATTTCAGAGTTTACAATCAAAAAGAACACCAAAACAATAAGTAGATTAAATGTAATGGAACAACTTTAGAATTGTGGCTAATTGGCTCTGCCAAAGTCACTTTTCAGAAAAAAAAAACTTTAGAATACATAACATGGAAAATCATGATAAATCATTATATTTAGTTCTCCCAGAGTTGTTACTATAAATCATCAGCGAATCTAAGATATTTTTAAATAGTTTCCGTTCACGCACATTCCTTTATTGTTCCCTGACATAAACCTACAAATATTTGCAACGATAAAGTTAATATTTTCCATAAGATTGTACCCGCTTGTCTTACTCGTCTACTAATTCTAATTCGTTATATTTTGAAATTTCGGTGAAAATGTTTCCACAAAGGATGTCGAAATCTTGACGCGGTCCAATCCGGACCATCAACCATGATTGTTTCAATCCTGGATTCGCCGTAACCATCTAATTCTAGCTTTTTTCACTTCTGATACAAGGAAAGTGTAGCAAATAGTCCGACTAGCTCTGATATAAATAGTTTGATTAGCTCGTCACCTAAACCTAAATAAATAAAAAAAAAAACTAACTGCAAACTACAATAATCCAAAACCATTAATGATGGCCTGGAATCACAGTACAACATGGCTATATTTAGCTTTTATCTATCGCTTGTTCTACTTATAATCCGGACAACTAAAAATTGCTAAGAAATTAAAGAAAAAATATATATAATTCCGTGATTTACTATCATTTCAAGCCTTCGCATAAAAAAACTATATACATACATTTTCTACATTTATAAAAAAATAACATTTCCTAAAGAAACAAATAAATATACAATTAAAAGCATGCTTCGTTCGATCTTAATTTCCATGGCGGGTAGAAAGACCGATGATTCTTCGTCAATTGGCACAAAACTTACTGCAATCTATGCAGCAAGTATTGTAAGAGAAGAGACTAGCACTTGTTGACGTCTGGAGGTGTTACTAGATAATCGTCCATCCTTTTGTGGTCAGACAGAGCATTCACTGTATACTGGTCTTGGGGTAGTTCTGACTTGCGACGAATTAAAGGTTTACTCAAGTTGCGTTGCTTTTTATTCTGTAGAAAATAAAGATTAAATTTAAAACTATATTCACATAATATTAGAATAAGTATTTATTTTCTACGAATGGAAAGAAGGAAGGTAGGCACATTTACCGAAAGTTATTCAATTTACAGTATTATCAATGACCAAATAGTGTATATTTACTAACATAGTTTAAATATTATTATTTGCATTTTGATCGCGCATCCTAAATGTACAATTGACCATGACTGGCGCATAATTGGATAATTGCATGAAGACATGAGTTATGTTGGATTTGAAGGCAGCTGTGGTTTGTGGCTTATTCGCATATATCGAGTTTAACAGGTCTAGTTTAACGGGTCTGACCAGTCTAAGGCCGAATTCTTGTGAGCGACGTGAAATCGACTGCCTCGGATTTTCTCACAGACTCTCACGGACAGCGACGATGTTTTCGGCACATTTTGCATTTCGTTGACGTACGGGTATTGTTTGACTGTTTACTGAACCAGTGGATTAAAATTTACCCACCACACTGCGAATAGTCTTCCCAGTAGAACGATTATGTTACCGTTAAATAGGCGAAGAGCGCGGAACGTTGCCCGAGCAGAAAACCCATTTTTATAAAACAATTTTATTATTTGCACGGTTTGTATGCTATATCCATCTATGGTGATTTGGCAAAATAGACTGAATAAACTGCAGGAAATTTGACAGAAATAAGTTCAAAAATATGGTCGCTATCTGAGCTAAAAAGTTTTAAGGGTAACCATGTAAAGATAATTCATAATGTCGTGGACCTGACGTCATTATTTAGTGACGTCGATCTACGGATGAAACAACGAAATCAGGCATTGCTAAAAACATTGAGTTCTCTTCGGTGCGTTATCTTAGCGAGACAGAGACGAACTAGTTTTTTGCGTTAGTGAAATAGCTTTAATATTTTTGTATTTTTGTGATCAATCGTTTTTAATATTTTATAGTGAGATACTATTTATGTTCAGTGCGTTTCAAGTCGTTTTTAACATTTTACAGTGAGATCCTAAAAATGTAAGTTAAATTATGTTTATTTTAAAATAATTTATATGTTTTGTACACTTATGACAAATTAATGAATTAAAAAAAATCACTTTTAAAAGTGTGTAAAATCTGATAACTTTATTGTTTATTTTAATATTTTTTGCAAAAGATTGATATGTATTGTAAAAGCTTGTCATAAATTAATAAATTAAAATGAAAAGTGTTTTAAAAGTGTGTAAAGCATTTAGTTTCTAGAATGTATAAAGCCAAAGGATCTTAGCTAGAAATTAAATGCTTTACAAACTTTTAAAGTACTTTTCTTTTCAATTCATTTTTTTTAATGTTTTTCTTAAACTTAACCAATATTTAACATTTTATCTATTATCTAAAACCTACCGGTTTTACAGGGAAAGTAACAATAGAAAAGTGGTCCATAGATAAGGGAGGCAAATTATTTTTAACGTTTATTCATTTATGAAACGGGAAAAAGATTTGGGATATTGCACAACTCCTTTACCCCTAATAGTGCGAGTGGCTCAAGCAACTGGTACCTCAGAAAGTACGGTAAAAAGGATAACTAAGGAAGGTAAAAACAAACCAGCAACTTCACAATTTGTATCACCCAGAACAAGTATTTGCAAGCCCAGCCCCAAGTCATCAGTCAATCCATTTGAGGAACACGTCATAAGAAATACCATTTACACGTTTGCTACCATCTACAAAAGAAGACCTACCATGAAAACTGTTTACGAATCTGTTAGAAACGAAGGAATTGTAACTGGTAAACTATCTTCTTTCAGAAAAATTGTGAAAAAATTAGGATTTAGGTGGAGAAAAGTGAAAGACAATAGAAAAATTTTAATTGAAAAAACTGACATAAGAGCCAAATAAACAGAATTTCTAAGAAAACTGAAAAAATACAAATCTGAAAGTAAGATATTTATTTACATTATAACTAATTTTAAAGTAATTCACAATTTTTTTTAGATAGAAATATTGTATATAGTGACGAAACTTATATACATAGTTCCCACACAGTTCCAAAAGGTTGGGATGATGGACGAAACAAGTACATAACATCTCCGGTATCTAAAGGGCAACGACTGATCATCTTACATTGTGGTGGTAAAAATGGATTTGTCGAAAATGCCGCTTTCATTTTCAAATCCGGACAAAAAACTGGTGATTATCATGATGACATGAATCACCAGAATTATATGAAGTGGTTGAAAGACAAACTTCTTCCCAATTTACCTTCCAAGTCAGTTTTAGTAATAGACAACGCCTCATATCATAATGTGACTCTTGAAAAATCTTATACATCGGCTTCGAAAAAAAAAAATCATAAAAAAATGGTTGACAAAAAGAAATATATTTTTCGATGAAAGCGAAACAAAACAAGCTCTACAGTAAGATACTCATTGCTAAACCTAAAAACCCAGTATATGCTGTAGACCAATTATTAGCACAGCACGGCCACTCGGTTTTACGTTTACCACCATATCATCCGGAACTTAACCCAATTGAAAAGATATGGGCCATTTTAAAAAATGAAGTTGCAGCAAGAAACACGACTTTTAAATTAGCAGATGTTTTAGAACTAGCAAAAATTAGGCTAAATGAAATCACGCCAGAAATATGGGCAAATACTTGCAGGCATGTTGATAAAGTAGAAGAAGAGTACTTCAGCCGAGAATACATTCTGGATGAAGCGCATGAGATCATTATAAATTTAGATGATGATAGCGAATCATCTGAAACAGAACTCTCTGATAGCGACGACGACGACGGCTACAACAATGACCTATGAATACAAACTTATCAAGGTGGCAAGCTCGGTATTCCGTCCCTCCATGTATATTTTTTAGTTCTTTTAACATTTTATTAATTATTTCATTTCTTATTTAGTTTTAATTAACGTGTATGTGTGTGTGTGTCTTATCGTGCGTAACCTAACACTCCGTCTCCATGTAGATGCCGCATTAATATTCTTAAATACTTAGAGACTATTCCGGTTGCACAGTCAAATTGAGTATATAATATCAGTACCATCTAGAGAGTGTCATATAACCCCATAAAAGTAAATAGTTTATCACCCTCCATCCAAGTGCAAGAACGAAATTCCAGTTTTCAGTCCAGCGCGCTGAAGAAAGAAGAAGAGAGATATAACCTTCATTATTGAAGGTAGTGTACATTTAATTTAAATACGCAGACAATTTAATTACACAGATTTTGGATCATTCTCAATAAAAAAGGTTAATTGTAATTTTTCTCTAAAGTTGATCGTTTTCAACTTAAACAATTTAAAACTGAAGACAAAAACGAAAAATCATGATTTTTGAGGCTCTAAAACACAATTATTTTTGAATTCACCAAACCTTGTTTTATCAGTTCCTGATACTTTAGTTTGGGCTTATTTGATTTTAAAACATTGTTTTTAGTTGTTTGAGGCCCTTATCCCAATGTAAAAATGAATTTATACAAAACTATTCAATAAATTAGGACCACTTTTTGTATGGGCGACATCTTGAACATTATTCTGCAGTTTTTATGAAAGTGATTATGCAAAAAATTTCATGCGGCAAAAAATCTCATGCGAATATTTTTCCCAAGGAATTTGTTGTTTTCGTCTCGTATATAAACATATTTTGCTGAATTTAAATCCAAAATCCTATTATTTTTCTATCATACATTTATTTGTTATTTATTTATTTGTTCTCTAGATTTTTTTCAATTCTTAAAAGGTTTATTTACAAGCCAAATTAGTGCAATGTAAATATTTTACATGTTTACACAGCAATTCTTATCGGCTGTGAAGATGGGAAGTCGTAAATTTTTATAGCTAAAATAAAAATACGATGACTAACTGGAATGTTTAAGATTAGAGAAACATAATATGTCATGTTTATTGGAAATACTCGACATTATTAGCACGTGCAAATCCTACCCTGTCGCCCAATTTCTTATGAAATTAAAATGGTGCATGTTTTTAGGATCCATTTATTTTTTCGGGCATGCGTATTTACGAGGTCCACGAGATTCTGAAACATCTTTACAAGTGAATTACCAAATTTGAATAAATGAGCAATTAGTGAAGTTTACTAATAAAGTCGAAATATTTTTACTCTCATTCTGAACTAGCTTTCTTTATTCTTAATATAATGTATTTATTTTGTATGCGATCATTATGGAAGTTTTTAGCGCAGCGATGCCAATTTTACCCAAAAGAATTTGCAATCGAACATTAGACAGGTTAAATTAAAACCATTTTAGAAAGGCAATAGACGGATTGATATGCGAAATAACTTAATTCACGTATTCCAAACTCCATTTTGGTAAGGTTTAAATCTACGTATCTCTTAAAATAGAATATACAAAAATTTAAATGTTTATTTTATTCTGCGCAAATTACGTCCTAAAAGCGTAGAATGGACTAAGTTTACATTGAAAAAAGCCGATGTGACTTTTTTCAATGTACTGACGAATTCTAGTGGGGAATTCGAACTTAGAGAGTGGGGAAGACAAGTAAGAACGAAAATTACCAGATCTGTTCACATATATAAAGAAGAAAGTGACATGTTCCGGGGAGTAATTATGACCGGTGACCTACTTTTATTGTGATATTCAAAAAGAAAAAATAACTTTGGCCTACTGATCATTCACTAAAAGTGATGTTTTAGTTACGTATCACTAAACCAAACGACCTCCATGTCGTTTGGTCTATTGATGTATAACACATTACACAATGTGACGAAAATCGTAAGTCGACCAAAAGCCTTTTCTTTTTTTCAACATTAGCAAGTTACTATTTTGCACTTAGAAAACATGAACTATCTTCGAAAACAAAAAATTACGACAATTATAACATACATATATTAAACTTTTAATAGAGTGAAAACTTTGAAGTCAAATATCTCAAAATCAATTTGCGCTTGGTCTAGTGATGCATAACGCGTCAATTATTTTAAATTTCTAAAATCATTCGACATAAAATACTTATCTTTTAAGCAATAAA